AGTTATAACTTCTCTTTGAATTCTGATTTTATTTGGGCCCTTTTTCTTGAGTCAGCTAAAGGTTTATCAATTTTGCTTATTTATCATTTCAAAGAACTAATTCTTTCAGCGTTTTCTTTCTTTTTGTCTTTATTTCATTTATTTCTGCTCTGATCTTTATTATTGTCTTCCTTCTGCTAACTTTGGGTTTTGTTTATTCTTTTTCTAGCTCCTTTAGTTATAAGGGTAGACTGAGATTCTTCTTGTATCTTGAGGTAGGCCTTATCACTCCACAAACTTTCCTTAGAAGTGCTTTTGCTGCATCCCACAGATTTTGGAGTATTGTGCTTCCAGTTTCATTTATCTTTAGGTATTTTCTGATTTCCTCTTTGATTTCTTCATTGACCCATTTGCTGTTGTTTAGCATCCACATGCTTGTATTTTTTCCATTTTTTTCCTGTAATTAATACCTATGTTCATACTGTTGTGGTCAGAGAAGACGCTTCTTGCTAGGATTTCACTCTTAAATTTATTGAAACTTGTTTTGTAGCCTAACATGTGATCTGTTCTGGAAAATGTTCCATGTGCACTTGAAAACAATGTGTATTATCCTGTTTGGGGATGGAGTGTTCTGTATATATCTCCTAAGTCCATCTTATCTAATGTGCCATTGAAAGCTACTGTTTCCTTATTGATTTTCTGTCTGGATGATGTATCCATTGATACAAGTGCAGTGTAAAAGGCCCCTACTATTACCATATTACTGTCAGTTTCTCCTTTTATGTCTGTTAATATTTGCTTTATATATTTAGGTGCTCCTATGTTAGATGCATATTTATAAGTGTTATATCGTCTTGTTAGGTTGATTCCTTTACCATTATGTCAGGCCCTTGTCTCTTGTTAGTTGTTGTTTTAAAGTCTATTTTGTCTGACAGTATTGCTCACCCCCAGCTTTCTTTTCATTTCCATTTACATGGAGTATCTTTTTCCATCCTTTCACTCTCAGTTTGTGTGTCTTTTGGTCTGAAGTCTCTTGTAGGCAGCATATAGATGGTCTTTTCTTTTTTTAATTTTTATATATTCAGCCACTCTTGATTGCATTCAGTCCATTTACATTTAAAAAGTAATTATTGATAGGTATGTAATTATTGCCATTTTGTTCATTGTTTTCTGGTTAATTTGCATTTCTCTTCTGTTGTCTTCCCTTGTGGTTTGAGAACTATTTTTAGTGTTATGTTTGGATTCTTCTCTCTTTATTTATGGTGTATCTGTTAGAGGTTTTTGGTTTGTGGTTACCATGAGGCTCATATATAACAACCTATGTATATAGCAGTCTCTGTTTTAAGTTGATGGTTGTTTACATTTGAAAGCATTCTAAAAACACATTTTTACCTCCCCATGTTTTGTTTTTGACGTATTTTATGTATCTCTAATTACTGTAGTTGATTTTACACTTTTTTTCTTTTAACCTTCCAACTATCTTTATAAGTTGTTGATCCACTACCTTTACTGTATGTTTGCTTTTACCAGTCAGGGTCTTTCATAATTTTCTTCTAGTTATGGTCTTTTCTTTTCCACTTAAATAAGTTCCTTTTAATATATCTCATAAGGCTGATTTACTGATGAAGAATTCCTTTAACTTTTGTCTGAAAAACTTTCTCTTCAATTCTGAATGATAATCTTGCCAGGTAGAGTGCCCTTGGTTGTAGGTTTTCTTACCACTTCCTTCTGGCCTACAAAATTTTTGCTAAAGAGTCAGCTGATAATCTTATGGTGGTATATAACTAGTTTTTTTTTTCCTTAAGATTCTCTTTTAGTTTTTTAACATTATAATTATTGTATCTTGGCATAGACCTCTTTGGGTTCATCTTGTTTGGGGCTCTCTTTGCATCCTAGACCTGGATGTCTGTTTCCTTCCCCAGGTTTGGGAAGTTTTCAGTTATTATTGTTTCTTCATATAAATTTTCTGTCCCCCTCCCTCTTCTCCTCTGGGACCCCTATAATACAAATGTTAGTACACTTGATGTCGTCTAAGAGGTCCCTGCAATTATCCTTATTTTTTTTTCTTTTTGTTCAGCTTGGGTGATTTCCACAACCATGTCTTCCAGATGCTGGTAGTACTTGTGCATAATCTAATCTGCTGTTGATTCCCTCTAGTGTATTTTTGTTATTCTTCGGGTCTGATTGGTTCTTTTTTATATATATTTTTTTAATATTTTATTTATTTGTTCATGAAAGAGAAAGAGAGGCAGAGGCAGAGGGAGAAGCAGGCTCCCCGCCCAGCAGGGAGCCTGATGCGGGACTCGATCCCAGGACCCTGGGATCATGACCTGAGCCGAAGGCAGACGCTTAACCATCTGAGCCACCCAGGTGCCCCTCTTTTTTATATTTTCTATATATTTGTTGAAGTTTTGTGTTTCTTCCAAGTTTGGTTAAGTATCTTTATGACCATTACTTTGAACTCTTTATCAGTAGATTGCTTATCTGTTTCATTTAATTCTTTTTGAGGTTTTGTCTTATTCTTTAGTTTGAAATATATTCCTGTCTCCTCATTTTGCCTGTGTTTCTGTATATTCAGTACATCAGCTATGTCTCCCAGTCTTGGAGTGGCCTTATGTAGAGGGTGTCCTGTGGGACTCAGAAGTACAATCCAATCTGCTTCTCACCAGAACCAGGTACTCCAGGACTGTCATATATTGGGTGTGTACACTCTCCTGTTGTGGCTAGGGAACAACTGCCGTGAACATGCTGCTGGGTAGAACTGACCCCCAGCTTAGCTGGCTGCAGCACCCAGGTGCAGTTGCTGTAGATGCACTGGTAGGCTGGGCTGCTCCCCCAGAGGAGGAGCCACTTTGGGGTGAGAGGAGCATTGGATCAGAACAAGGCAGCCCACTGAGTGTAGTGGCATGGGAGCTGTTTTGGAGGGGTACATGCTGGAGCAGGCTGGTTAGATGGATCAGGTCTGAAGGAGAATGCTGGGTAGGACAAGGCAAGCAGTACTAGCTAGCTAGGTAGAACCAGAAATGGTGCCTACCACCACTAGACCAGCTAGGTCCTTTGTCAAAGATTAATTGTATATAATATACAATACAATAAATAATTATGTTTATTTCTGGGTTTTCTGTTCTGTTCCACTGATCTAGGTGTCTTGTTTTTGTGCCAGGACTATACTGTTTTGATTACTACAGCCTTGTAATAAAACCTGAAGTCACTAATTGTGATACTTCCAGTTTTGTTTCTCCTTTTCAAGACTGCTTTGGCTATTCAGGGTCTTTTGTGGTTCCATACAAATTTTAGGACAGTTTCTCTAGTTCCTTGAAAAATGCTGTTTATATTTGGATAGAGATTGCATTAAATCTGCAGACTGCTTTGGATAGTATAGACATTTTACCAACATTTGTTCTTCCAATCCATGAGCATGGAATGCCTTTCCATTTCTTTGTCATCTTTCATCAGCATTTTATAGTTTTCAGAGCACAGGTCTTTTACCTCCTTAGTTAAGTTTATTCCTAGGTGTTTTATTATTTTTGGTGCAATTGGAATGGCCTTAATTTCTCTTTCTGCTACTTATTTGGTACAGAAATGCAACAGATTTCTGCGTGTTGATTTTATATCCCATGACTTTATTGAATTTATTTATCAGTTCTAGTAGTTTTTTGGAATCTTTAGGATTTTTCTATATATAGTATCATGTCATTTGCAAATAGTAAAAGTTTTACTTCTTCCTTGTAGATATGAATGCCTTCTATTTCTTTTTCTTATGTGATGGCTGTGGCTAGGATTTCCCACTTGATTGTGATTTTTTTTTTTAATGTATTGTCAGTTTACTATTATTTTGTTGAGGCTTTTGCATCTATGTTCATTAGCTATTGGCCTGTAGTGTTTTGTGCTGTATCTAGTTTTGGTATCGTAGTATGAATTTATAAGTTTTCCTTCCTATTTTTTGAATAGTTTGAGAATAGGTATTAACTCTTCTTTAAATGTTTGGTATAATTCACCTATGAGGCCATCTGGTCCTGGACTTTTGTTTGTTGGGAGTTTTTGATTCCTGATTCAGTTTCATTTCTGGTAATTGGTCTATTCAAATTTTCTATTTCTTTCTGTTTCAGTTTTGGTAGGTTATATGTTTCTAGGAATTTATCCATTTCTTCTAGGTTTTCCAATGTGTTATATAATTTTTCATAATCTCTTATAATTGTATTTCTCTGGTGTTGGTTATTTCTCCTCTCTCATTTGTGTTTTTTTGAGGAGTCTGGCTAGAGATTTATCAATTTTGTTGATCTTTTCAAAGAACTAGCTCCTGGTTTCATTGATTTTTTTTTTTTCTTCTTCAGTTTCTGTATCATTTATTTCTGCTCTGATTTTTATTATTTCCTTCTTTCTGCTGGTTTTGGGTTTTGTTTGTTCTTTTCCTAGCTCCTTTAAGTGTAAGGTTAGGTTGTTTAAGCTTTTTCCTGCTTCTTGAAGTAGGCCTGTATTGCTATAAACTTCCCTTAGAATTGCTTTTGCTGCATCCCAAAGATTTCTTGGTTGACCCATTCATTGTTTAGTAGCATGTCATTTAACCTCCATGTGTTTATGGTCTTTCCAGATTTTTTTCTTGTGGTTGATTTCTGATTTCACTGAATTGTGGTTAGAAAAGATGCATGGTAGGATTTCGATCTTTTTGAATTTGTTGAGAATGTTCCATGTGCATCAAGTGACTCTTTGATACAAAATTGTTAACTGGTTCTAATGATTTTATACATATTGATACTTTAAAATGAATGGAAATTATATTGAAGGCTAGTAAAACATTTAATATGATTTGATTTACTGGGGCTATGAATATAAACACATGTGAAGCATCAAAAATAGTAAGTACTTTACCCTTTGCTTATATAATAAGTCCTCATTCTGTGTGAAATATTAGCAATGACTGAAGTCAATGGGGCACAGCAGTGGAAAAGACTTGAAACAACATTTTGGGAGAATCTGGTTTTCTAATAATGCTGCTGTAAGAGTTAAGGAAACAAGTGTAGTTTAAAAAAAACTAAAAAACAATTTAATTGTTTATTCACATATAGTTACCATTAAGAGGTTAACTCATAAAAACATTTCTTCTATTGTAATATCCTTTGCTTCTTCTCTCTTCTAAATCAATCCCCACCACATAGCAGAAATGTTAGAAGTTATACTGCAAAGGGAGCAAATTAACTTTTTAACCTTTACGGCTTATGAACAATTTTACAGAGCAGGTTGCCTATTAATACGTTACATATTAACAGATCTATGGTACCATTTTGGACAATCAGATTTGCTTGATGTAAAGATGGAGCTGGAATTTTTGTTAAGAAAGTACTTAAACCTCTTAGAGTTTTTATAAAGAACTGAAATCCCATACCATAAAGTGTTATCTTCAGTTAATAATTTTACATCAAGCCAGAAACTAGATCCAGCTCTGGGAAAACACTGATTTTTTTTTTTTTTTTTTTGGTATGAATCATGTAAACACTGCTCCGAGTGTCTATGCAGATACTTAGAAAAGAAGAACAGATTCTTGTTCTGGATATACATCAAAACCTAGATTACCTTTGTATAACATTTATTTAAAAATTTGACAAGAACATGTTAAGTGTTGGCAAAACTAATAGCACTCAATTTGATTATACATCGCCTAGCTTTCACAGAATTTCCTAACTCACAAGACTCAAGTTCTATTAGGATAGAGTCTTTTGTCCATCAATGTATACCCAGCATCTGACACAGTACATGGCACAAGATATGTGTTCAATAAATATCTGAATGTTGAATATAACTCTTTAACAGCAAATGAAAAAAAGATACAACTCTGAATAAATGGCATGAGAATACCTGTTGTCTCATGATGCAGCAATAGGTGCTTTTTGTAAAAATTCTAGGATTACTTATAAGTAGATCAAGAATTAGATAATTTCCTCTCAAACTAAAGGAACTCTCATGGGGGTGAGGGGAGGTGAAGGAAGCTGTAACATTTTATCTTTCAAAGCTAATGTGTGAAACACGGAATATGAGCTAGGTGAAAACTACCATGATATTAAAAGTAAGGCAGTTCCAAAACTAATGTTTTGCATATTTATTAAAGAATCCATTTTCTGACAATACTCCTAATACTAGATGAAAATATTTTTTAAAGGTTTCACCAAACTCCTAATATGTCTAATCAGCTCCCTTTAGTCTTTGATTCCATGTTAGAGTTTTAAATATGGAAGAAATCTATTAAGACTCAAAAGCATTCAAAAAAAAACTGTCTATGACCTAAAAAAGCTACTGGATAATTAATACATTTGTAACAGTATCATGATTTTTTTCAGATATACTTCATTTCACCCAGCACTGTCAAAATTAACCTGAAAGTCAATTATTAAATGAAAACATCAATAATTTCAAAAATGATTGAATTTCTTAATAAAGAGCCGTAACAATATTGTACTCTGAAATTAGAAAATTCTAAGCACATATAAAAAACGCATTTACCTACTTCAATTAGGTCAATGTCAGGATTTATCAAAATTCTCCATCAAAATTTTTTAAAAATCGATTTTTTAGGTACTATAAAAAATATACACTAATCAGATGGTATGTGTTTGGTCTGACCAATTCCAGTTAGGAAAGGGAAGGAAAAAAAAAAAAACTTGTACAGTGAAATTTCAAATCCTAAACATTTAATCCTTTATTTGAGCCTACCTCTCTAAAAAGATATCAGTACTCTTAGATACCAACTATAAGCAATATAGAAATTTCACTGGTATCAATTCTAATCAGTTTAGTCCATCCATTTTCTAACACAGCGAACAATCTTTTCTATCCAAATCCAAAAGAAGAATAATGCAAATCTCACTTTCTTGGTCACCTTTGAAGCCCAGGGCCAACCAGTCTCAATAATAACCAACATATGTAGCTTTATGAGCAGTAGTCTGTTTCTGCAGTGAAATGAAAGCATTTCCCAGTAATCAAAATTTGTCATCTGAGGAAATCTTTCATTGTTCTAGAAGCACAGTTCGAAGCTCATCTTCTTTATTGATCATCATCGAAGCAATTGCTCCATCGTTAAACTCAAAAGAAGTACCTCCATCCACAACCATGCAGGCATCCCAACAACGAGAACGAACACACACCCTGAGCAGAAAGAAACATCTCATTAAATATTAAGTTTTCTTAACCTTGAATTATGGTTTCTTTAAAACCCTTATTTTTATTGAAATTGGCAGATCATTTGGCCTTGATTTTTAAAACAAGTTGTTCTTTGGTTTGAGAGAGTAACTATGTATATATGGGTACATTACCAAAATCTAGTATTCAAGATAGCTCCCTTCATCCAAACAGTTATGAGGGAACAAGTTCAGACTTGATGGAACTCACAGGCTTTTTTCATATGAGAAAATGTTGAGTTATTATTATTACAAGTACTAATATTGAACAAGAATGTAACTATTTTCATGGATAGTTTTTACTTAAGTATAATACATGAAGAGGCACAAATTTGTAGTGTACAGCTCAGCAAACACATTTGTGTAGTCATTCCTCACCCAAATCAGGAATCAAATGTTCCCCAGAAGCCCCTTCATTGCCCCTGGCCCTGCTCCTTCCTACACATGCACTATCCTAATGTCAGTCACCATAGTAGTAATAGCTCTGTTTGTTCTTAAATTTTATATAAATGGAAGAATAGGTTTGCTTGTATCTAGCTTTCTTTTGCTTAACAGTATGCTTTTGAAATTTATCCATGGTTATTACCGTTAGTAGTAGTGTGTTCATTTTCACTGCTGTGTGAAAACACTTCCATTGTATAAAAATACCAAAATTTATGGATCTCTTCTATTCACTGACACCCGAGTTTTTACTACTGGAAGTAGTGCTGCTGTGTATATTCTTGAGCATCTTCTGTTGCAGACATTTGTGTATATACATTTCTGTTGGATATACACCTAAGAGTGGAACTGCTGGGTCAACGCATGTGCTATATTCAGCTTTGGTAGGTAACTGCCAAACAACTTTCCAAACTATTCCTAACAATATATAAGTTGCAGTTACTCCCACCTTACAACAACTAGCATCTTAGCTCTTCTGGTGAGTATATGGTACCAGAATATGTAGTTTTAATTTGCATTTCCCACATGAATAATAAGGTCAAGGATGTTTTTCATACGCTTAACCATTTGAATACCTTCTTCTGTGAAATGCCGGTCCAAAACTTTGGCAATTTTTGAGCTGCCTTTTCTTATCGAGTTATAGGAATTTTTACAATATTCTGGATATAAGTCCATTGTTGGATAAGGTACTGCAAATACCTCACTCTGTGGCTTGCCTTTTATTTCCTTAATGTTGTCTTGATTAACAGAAGTTCTTAATTCTAATATAGTTCAATTTATCAATCTTTTGTTGATAAGTGCTTTTTATGACAAGAAATATTGTCCAACTGCCAAAGTCATGAAGCCTATTCTGTTTATATGAGCAAAAATTTAAACGTCTTTGTAGTCTCACCTAAACGGAGTATAGATTTATTGAGTAATCAAAATTAACTCTCAAATGAGTAAAATGAGTTTCCCTGTTTTTCCTAGAAAAAAAATGAACAGTATTTTCAAAAAAAAAGAATATGTACACTGTCTAAGCAGCAATTCAAAATTAAACCATACTTTGCCTGCCATGAGACAGATGACATTTTTTTATTTTTTTGTTTTTTTGTTCAGAAGATTGGACAACCTTTACAAAATAAATTATATATATTTTTTATATCCACCCTTCAAAAAAAACCAAATCTGATAGATGTGGGAAAGGGGGGGTCACTTTTAGGGAAAACGTGACAGAAATGAGTCCTACTCTAAAAGTTTATTGCTATACAACTGAGGTTTATAGAATGTTTATCCTGCTTTTATCCCATAGCATATGAAAAAAAAAAGTTGCTTTCCAGTTTTTTTTTTAAAAGTGATAGTTTGATCTTACTGAGTCTTAGTATGTTAAAACAACAAATCCACATCACCCAATTAAATAATTATGCCCCTTCTATTCACTTATAGTTTCTCTAAAATGGTACAGTATGTTAGAAAGGAAAATACCATTCTCACCAGGGTACATACAGCATGACACCTCATTAGTTCCACGAGTTCTATACTTTTCCTACCAGATTAGTTTGAATGAGTGAATTTCATCAAACTGAATACTTTAAAACCAAGACTCCTTTACAATTACAAGCAATGAAAGCACAGTCAGAAGTCAGCCTCTGAAAGCTTACTTTGAGGTGAAGCAACGCTGACGACTGCTGGAGAAAACTCTGTTTGCTATTGGTTCTCGAATACTGAAAAGTATTTTTGGTTCTTCTGGACTGTAGAGCAGCGATTCATTATATTCATTTGTTACTATGAAGGAAAAAAAAAAGTATTGCCGCAGTCAATGAAAGAAGGTCACTTCTGAGAAGCGCAAAATGAAAAATGAATGCTATCCTGTCCTCAACTTAAAAGCAACTCTGTTCCAAAAGGTCTGTTTGGCAGCAAGTTTCTTGAAACTCACAACACATTCCATTCAGACACACACACACAACCTTATAAATGAGGATTAGGTTCCAAGATTAGGCCATCAAAGCCTGTATCAACCACAATATAGCAGAAATAGACATGGGGGGGCGCTACAAAACCAGTAATTAAACAGAAGTAAGGAACTAGCTTGAGGCATTCAAACGGAACTTGAGCTCCGACAGTCCCTTGCCAAATTCCCTTCCAAAATACCATGTCAAAGTGTTCATAAGTTAATTGTTTTGATATAAAATGCAGTCTTAAACAATGACAGGCAATATGCTTTCTCTAATGAAACGGCAATTACTCAAGATATGTTTAGAAATCTTTGAGACCTGTTTCTCATAACCAAGAGGCACATGAAAGTTGATAGGCAAAGCACAAACTGGTCAAAAACAACTGTACAAAGAAATCAGGCTTGTAAGAACGTTTAGTTGAACACCACATTAAAACAGATCATAAGACTGTCAGATAATCTAGCTTATTTACCAAAATTTCACTTAAATTATTTGGCTCTTTGAAATCTAATTCACTCTCAAAAATAAAAATTTGCTTCTCTGGGAACGAATACACAAGAACACATACAAACACCCCACCCCACCCCCAGGGGCATCTAGCTGGCTCCAGTCACTAGAGCATGCGATTCTTGATCCTCAGGGTCATAAAAGTTTGAGCCCCATGTTAGGCATAGAGAGAACTTAAAAAAAAAAAAAAGTGCTAGCTCTGAAAGAATTCCAGAAATGTCTGTAACAATGACTGCACCCCTGGCATTCACTATTGTTTCTAAGGACCAGTTTTCAAAGGAGTAACATTCATTCAATAAAGCAGAAAAATCACTGTATTTTATATATACCCTTAAATTTACATGCCTGATATAAATTTCAGTTGTTTTTTATAATTATGTTTTAAGTTAAATTATATAATGAATAGATTACTATAAATGCCTAATTTTCCTTTCTTTGACACAGATTTAATGTTAATCTTTTTGGTCTCCAATTGAGAGAGGGAGAAAGTCCATTTTAGAGAGCTGAGAAGGACGTCAGAGATTTAGTCCTGTTTTCAAACTATTAAAGGCCAAGCATCTCCCCCAACGAAGTAAGTCTTACCTGGAAATCCAAAATATACACTTAAATGAACTGACACTATTACATATGTAAGTAGATACACTATGAAAAAGTTTGGATTTTTTTAAAAAACAACTGACCTTGAAATCTTAGGATACTCTTCAACTAAACAGAGACAGAAAGGAAAGCTGTAGTGTGAAGTCTATACAAAAATGCTCCTGACAGATGAGATGGGACTGTAGTGAGTTAATTTCATATGCAAATCAAACGAATGTGTTTTCCTATTAAAGAATTTAAATATTTAGAAAAAAAATTGTTAAGAATAACAGTTGAAGAATCCCTATGCATTCATTACCAATCTACTTCCCCTTCCTCATTTTGCAGTCCAGGAAGTAGAGGAATGTAATCAGTCTTGCTCATATTTTCAGTGAGTGACCAGTCTGGGATTGGAGCCCAGGCCTTCAGACTCCCTGATCAGTAGTAGTCTTTCCCAACACGGCTAGTTCTCTCAAGGGAACCCTGAATCAACTGGGCAGGAGTAGGTAGTCAGAAGTTATAAAGAGAACATTTTAGTGAATGTGATAAGCCTTCACAGCTCAGTGAATTCCATCTCATTCAGAGGATATTAATGGCATACTGAGTTTAAGTAAGCATTTCCCATTTGCTAGATCTATATTTTTCTGTATTTTCCTATCCCCCAGGACATGTTTGTAGCTAACACTGTTTTGACATAAAGTTTATATTTCAGAGTTCACAAAAATATAATATATAAAAAGTCCAGCTCTAAACTTTTCATTGCTTAAATACATGTAAAGGGATATTATATCAAGAGCCTGTTTGAGTCATAAAAGTACTAGGCTTTGCTAATTAGACAAGTAAATTTCACAATGACATCCTCAAGATCGATGCAGAACTTAAATGAAACTGTTAGTAATTATGATCATTAGTCACTGACCTTTTTCTACCAATTCTCGGTTCAATGGAAGAGTTAAATTTCCTTGTCGTTTTGCTATTGAAAAAAGGGGAATATCTTGATTAAAAATCTTGTGTCATATAATAGCTAACATATAATAAAATATATACATTATATAGCATATTATAATTATAACATACTAGCTATTTTGGTACTCACCAATATTTAAAACATCTTCCACAGCCTGAGTTGCAACCCTGTTAATATTGAATGACCTAGAAACAAACATCACATAAGTTCCTTGTTTTAATTCTAAAAACATACTAAAAACAAAAAAGGAATTATCTACTTAATATACAAAAAAACTCTTAGAATTATCAAGAAAAAACAACCAAAAGATAATAGCCACTTCACCCAGTTTTAAAAAGTGGGCAAAATACATAGGCAAACAGTTTATAGGTCTATATGAAAAAGTGTTCAATTTTACTCCTACTTAAGGAAATACAAATTAAAGACTGATAATATTGGCATGAGTATCAGAAAAACATTCTCATACACTGATGGGGGAACTTGCAGTTGGAGGGCAATTCTGCCCTATTAAAATTTAAAATGAACATATTCTTCAATCTACTAATTTATCCTAAAATATACTTGCATCTATAATACACAAAGACATGTACAAAGTTATTTACGAAGCATTGTTTATAATAGCAAAACAACTCATATTCACAGGAAGCAGGTTAAATGTTACTATGTAGATATTAAAAAGAATAAAACAGAACTGTATGTGCTGATAGATAATGGGTATGTTAAGTTAAAAAACCAAAGGCATTATGTAGTATATATAAACAAACAGGGAAGTAAATATTATATATATATTATATATATATATGGGGTGGTTGTGTCTGGAGATTAGTACTAGAGATATGAAATGAAAGACTAGCTTTTCATTTGATATCCTTTTATACTATTTAACATTTTTAATGTGTAAATATCTCTTTAAATTATAAAACAGAAAAGATGAGAAATCTTTACTACTGTTTGATGCCTTGCTTAACCACTTAAGAACAAATGTTAATACAAACATGAATCACTTTTTTTTTTAAAGGGATCACGCCTCTTTTTTTGTTTTAAAGATTTTATTTATTTATTTGAGAGAGAGAATGAGAGAGAGAGCACGAGAGGGAAGAGGGTCAGAGGGAGAAGCAGACTCCCTGCTCAGCAGGGAGCCCGATGTGGGACTTGATCCCCGGACTCCAGGATCATGACCTGAGCCGAAGGCAGTCGCTTAACCAACTGAGCCACCCAGGCGCCCCAAACATGAATCACTTCTAAAAGTAGCTCTGTCCTTGAGTCTACAAAGATGGTTATGGAAAGTTTTGTTTGTTTTTTCCCACTGATTTAGAATTCTGCTGCTGCCTCACAACTCTTCTCACATGGCCTCAGTAGATAACTCAGTTACCCACAAACTCTCAACATAATTCAGTGACTCAACCTTTTTAAGGAGGGGAGAGTAATAGATACTCTTGCATACCCTTCTAACCCTATACCCTTCACATTTTGAGAAATGTGATAACATTTTGGGCAATGCAGATACACAAATTTTTATATTAAAAATTTGGGGTCATTCACAGACCACATGCCTATGCTAAAATAATCTCAAATCTAGCCATTGCCTATTCTATTTTTCACCATTATTTACTCTCCAATTTCATATTGCAGCCACACCAAACCCATTCTTGCCTCTGTACCTTTGCTCATACTTACTATGTAGCATGAAGCAAAATAAGTGTCCTGACTCATTTTTTAGTATGAGGTTTGCAATACCTATCTCATTGGAATTACTGCCACAGACTACAAGCTCAGGCATCTGCAGCACCACCTGGCTCATGGCAAAAACTCAACTCAATACTGAATGAAAATATCAAATGAAAGAGATGTGCATGAGTTATATTCTAATTCTTCTGAATATTCACATTATTGGAAGAATTTAGAAGTCACTGAGATCGGGGGTTTATCAGTTACAGTAACTGTCTTGTCCAAAGTTATACATTTCCACATTTCATATTCAAAGCAAGGACTGAGAGGTCCCATAGGAAGACTTCTCTCTGTGCAAGAATTAAAAGAGTAAAACAAATAGGCTATTCTATTCCTTTCTTTCCAGTGATTCCTGAGGTCTACAGTTTAGAGTTAAGTCCGGAACTTAAATCCTGTCTTCACCACTTATTAGCCACATGGCTTTGGGAAACTCCTGAGACCTTTTAATAATACTCTATTAATAAAAATAAAATTACTTATTTCCAGAGTATTTTTGAAAATTTAAATAATATATGTAAGCTCAAGACAAAGAAAAATCTTAGAAATGGTAGTTTGATAAAGTTATTAACATATAGAAATGTATAGCTTTCCCTCAGCCCTTCTGGCCCCCAGGCTTCTCTTCTCTCCGCCCATTTTCTGAAGAGAAAAAGGACAAAAGATGAATGGGAAATGCAATCACAGCAAAAGAAGGATCAGTAATGGGAGGGAGTAAGGTAGGAGATGTTAGAAGCAAGCAAGCTACGTAGGGCTGAACAGAGAAGAGGCTGAGTGACCAAGGTGGCAGGGACAGAGACAGTTCTAGACCACAACATCGGAGACAACAGATTTCAACAAGCAACAAAGGAAAGACAAATCCTAATATAAGCCATACTTACTCATGTCCAACATCAACACAGGACTCAGCTATAAAGTGTGTGGCAGTGGAGGGCAGGACTACTTTACAAGCCTAATGGCTCTTATTCTTTATGCTCTTCTTAGTAGTAAAAGGTTGAAAACTAAAACTATCAAAATCACAGGCAGACACACCCCAATGCAAAAGTCAAAGCTGATTCACTGCCTTTAGCATAACCACTATTTCACTAAGATTAGCAAGTTTACCTTGATAATTCTTCAGTACAACCCGCTGACACATCTTCGAACTGTACGAACTCTGCATTTCAAAGCTGGCAGTCAAAAAGGCCTTGGTTTTGTAGTCAAGCACGCTCGTGCTTGTATCAGTTTCTGACACTAGTTGTGACCTCACGCTAATTATCCTTGCAAAGCCTTAATTTCTACCTTTATAAAACACGGCTATAACTACTTTCTTGCAGGATTTCTGTAAGAATCTGTTTCTGATTCTCAATACAGTTTTCAACAAGTAACACATCACAGTGAGCAGAAAAGATGTCATGATAAATTAAGGCAGTTAACTATAATGTTTTCATTTTATGAGAGGGTTACACAATTTTATAACAGATTAAATTTATTTTTTCAAACAATATTGTTAAAAGTCATTTTAGAAATTCGTTCTCACTGGCCCTCAGGGAAATGAGATCTTAGCCAATCTTGAAATAATACCTCTCATTTTTCTCCAAAGGTTCATTTGACAAAGATGAGGCTTTAAAAAAAAAAAAAATGTGAAGTTATGGAGTACTTATGAATCAATGTGATGTCTGAAAATTAACTCAAAATAACAGAAGACAAAAGGAGACAGTAGGGGAACAGAGGAAAAGATTGGGCATGTGTTGATAATTATTGAAACTGGCTAACGGGTATATGGCTATTGATACTTTTGTCTACTCTTGTATATAAAATTTTCCACAATAAAAAGTTTTAAAAAGTAATACTGAAAAAGTATTACTCCATTTTAAACTATCCAAACTTAAAATCACAGTTTAATAAGTACTGTTTTCCACTCTATATGTAGTCATTTAAAAAAAATTGATTATGTATTAGGTAGTATGCTATACACACAAAAAATTGAGGGAGGGAAAAAAAAAAAAACCACACAAAACCATGAGTCACCACCCCAAATGCCTCAAGTTGCTTGAACCAGCCGGATGTCAGCTAGTCAGAGAACTAATAATGTGGTAAGTGCTAGAACAGTGCTATGAGGAACAAGTGCGATGCGAGGGTTGCACCAAAAGAGGGTTCATTATGCTGATGAAAAGAACTAGATCCTAGTAAAGATTTCCTACACAGAATGACATCTGAAGATCGGATTTTCAGCCAGGGGATGGAAAGTGGAGAATGTTCAGGCATTCAATGCAGGAAGAAGTTGCACTGAGCAAAAACAAAAAGCCCAGAGAGAACATGTTGTGCTGAGCATTCCAAGTAGCCTGTAGTGTCCCCGGTGTGCTGGTGGGTGAGTGTAGGGCAGCAATAGGCTGGGAAGTTTCCTTAGATCCTATTTTAAAGGGTCTCACATACAGACTGAGTAATCTGAACACAGTCAGAAGTAAATTAAACTTTTACAGCACAGAAGGGATACAGCCAAATTTATCTACATTTTAGAAATATTACTCTTGGCAGTATGGATAACAGCCTTTAGAATAAAGGATGAGGCACAAAGAATATTCACTAAAAAGATGGAGGCCTGGACCAAAGAAATAGCAGGAGAAATTGAAAAAGAGGGGCAAGGACTTCAGAAGTGTGACTGGCAGGATTCAGAGACTGGTATGTGTAAAGGGGAGAACAGGGAGACTCAAAAGAGCGAGCAAGGATTAGGGGAGTAAGGTTTTTTTCTCTAGAGCATGAACTCGGGATAACAGTGATCCTATTAAGCAATACAGGGATCACAGGAATAAAAACCTGAAGATAATAAATTTAGTTTTCAATATGCTGAATTTGAAGGTCTATTAACACTCTCTCTAGTAGGTCATTTTAGGGTAGGAGTTTGTGCTCAGGAGACGAGAGCTATGGATGAAAGTCTGGGAGGCGTCTGCATGTATATGACTAAGCAGCAATTACCCAGAGAGAAGTGAGAGGGTAAGCAAGATACAGGAGCCCAAGTTATCTCCAGTTAGGCCTTTGCCGCACAAACCTCCAGGACATTTGCTGTTATTGTACTTGTTTTCATTTCTTTACTATTATTTAAAATATTTTTCATTAAAAAAACAAAAAAAAACAAAAAACCATACAGTCCCCCAAAACATTTCTCATTTTCTTTTTTTCTCTTTACAAACCTAGTGCAATAGGCTAAATAACGACCAAATCCAGGCTACAGCTCTAATCTACAAAGTCAAGGCAGGACTTCTGGACCCAACTGATGAGTAAAGCAGAAAGTGAGCCAACCAACGTAACACCACCAGGCTACCTCTTGCATATCAGAGGCTTTAGATACACCACCGATGTGCAGCCTCGAGTAAATTACGTTACTTAAAATATTTCACAAAGTCAATAAGCAACATCCCAAGTTACTCACCAGGCCTTTGATCCTGTTCCAGTACACAAATTGAGCCCTGAACTCTTCTGTTTTTCCCATGGACCATCATCAACTGAAATCTCATAGTAGGAAGCCCTATGAATTGAGAATATAAAACTGGATTTGCTGAACTTATGGCTCACAGTAAATAAGACAAACATCGTTTCTTCAGAACTAACAAAATCTAAGTGGGCCAGCTTGACTTAGACATACCTGACTTAGTAGGCACGCACACCATGATGCTAATACCTATACTAAGTGAAAAGGTTAAAAAAAAAAAAAAATCTGCATAGCTCCATCCCTCTCTGATCCATATGGTCCTTTCTATCAATATTTTAACATTTCAAATAAGGGCTCCTGGTAAATTTTTACCTACCATAGCCTCTACTGTTTTTATGGAATTTAACACATACAGAGCCTTATTTCACAATTCAAAAAGAAAATACCATTCTTAGGTGAGTTTCATTCTTGGTAGCTAGTCCTTGATAGCTCCAAGTCTGTATCTAACCCTTCAAGTTGCCAACAGTTTCTGCTCAACTTGTTTAAGTTATATACTAATGTGCCTTTTGAACTGATAGTAAGCTAAGATCAAGTTCTAAAGAAAATTCTCAAACGGTACTGCATCAGGTAGACAAAACTAGGAATAAAACTAGAATTGTAATTTCTTTAAAGATTTCTGTTTCTTAGAGTAGTTCATAAATATGAAATCAAATGGGTTTTCTGACACCAGCAAAAATGACACTGTTCTTTAACTGTGTGAACATATAAATTTGCAATTATTAAAAAAAAAAAAACTCTTGAAACCTGTAAAAGCCTATTTTGTAAAACTGTATCTTAAATAATGGTGTCATTGATCAACACTGGGTTATTTCTGTCCAGCAAATAAAAAAGTTAAACTCTTAATATAGCTCTTCCAATAATGACAATTATTAGACATGCTTGCAAACACTAACACTCAATGGATAATTTATCTCTTAACCCTCAATTCTCCTGCCAAACTCAATCTGTAAAGGTTTTACATGGCACAACTCCTTTTCATGTTTTTTCTGAAGTCACCATTCTTCATAAAAGATAGCAGGCCTTATGTTCACATTGAATCTATTTCATAGCTTTGTTATGTCTTCCTAGAAAATTAGGAATTTTAGGTGTATTAGGAGCCTATTACATTCAGACAAGCCAGTCAACTCTATAGGAATGGCTGCTATTATGCTAGAATCACATAGAAACAAATGAGATTAGAGGTAAGTGGGGATAGAAGAGAAACAGGTGGAGAGGAAGAAAAGTACAGTCAGGTGAGGGGTGTTGAGCCCAAAACGATGAGCAAATTTAGTGTCATTCTCACATGCAGGTTTATCAAGATTAGTCAACTCAGAATTTTTGTTTCAGGGAAATTATTTTTTTAAGGCAGCAATAAAACTCACAGTCCCTTTAGAGTGGGTATACTTCTTCTTAAATTGTCCACTGCTACAGCCCAAGAATAAGACATTCTAGGTTAGAATAGAAAAGAAAAAAAAAATTGGGCTTTTTAAAATGTTCTTAAATCTAAGAACATTATAAATGAGGCAGGAATAATATTGCTGCACTTCATATTTTCCAAGCAAAGCCCTTAAGTTTTCAGGGCATAGTGAAGCCTCAATACAGGACCTGGAATCAGAAATACTGGGTATACAATGACAGTTCTGATGCTAACTAATGATAGGACCATGGGCAAGTTATGTGAACTCTCCAAATTTCAACTTGTTCAATGATACATACAACTACCTTTCTCACAGGGTTGCTATGAGCGTGTAATGTAGTAATATACACAATATACATAAAGCCTGACACACAGCAGGCATCCAATAAGTATTCATTTCCTTTCTGCCTAAGGGTCTATGTCATAGATTCCTTAAAAATAAGTTCTAATACCTCCTATAGTGAAAACTTTCTCAATAGCATCAGAAGCTAACCCACTGCTGTCCTTATCTTAGTAAGGCTATAAGGTGAGGCTCAACACAAAAAGAAGCAGCATCAGACATTATTTAGGAGATAAACCAACCAAATCACTGCTGCCACAGAAAAAAACATTCAATCTAAAATCTAGTGGGACTTCACTGAATTCCCAGAAGTCTGTCAATCGATCCCAGTTTTCCTCCTTTTATAAGTTATTTTTAGTAAGTAGAAATTACAAAGCAACACTAGTAGAAGCTCTCGGAAGTTATAACCTTTAAAATACACAAACAATAACATAAGCCATTAAATGGCTTCTCTAGAATCGGCATAAACTCTTAAAACATTTCTACCTTTGTCATCTATTTTATTATTTTTTATTCAAGTTTAATTAACATACAGTGTTATTAGTTTCAGGTATACAAGACAGTAACCCAACCATTATGTACAGCCCTCAGCGCTTATCAAGATAAGTATACTCCTAATCCCCCCCCCCATTCGCCCAATGCCCTGCCCCCTCCGGCAACCACCAATTTGTTCTCTGTATTTAAGTCTGCTTTTTTCTCTTTTTTCTATTTGTTTTGTTTCTTAAAATCCACAAATGAGTGAAATCACATGGTAATTGTCTTTGACTTATTTCACTTAGTATAATACCCTCTAGGTCTATCCATGTTGTTGCAAATGGCAAGATTTCATTTGTCTTCTAATGTAGACATTCTCCAATTTCATTTAAAGTTGTCTGCCTTATGTTTTTAGTAATCATGATTAGATTATACCACTAATTAGAATTACATTTCCTGCCTTCTCTGTCACCAAGTATCCATTATTCATTTCCATATTACTTCAAACGATAATAGAGCAAAAGAAAACATTTTATGTGTAGCATGAGTCTTATTACTATGTTAAAATAAATGTATTTACGCTTTATGTTCTTTAAAGAATATATTTTTATTTGATTCCTTCACAGAATTTTAAATACTTTTTAAAATTATGTATTTTACCAGCCTCCAAAAAAAAAATAAGATGCTACTTACTACCTTTATCTTATTTATCTTTACATCCCTAGTGACTTGCATATAGCACGTAGCAGGTACACAATACATTTTGCTGAATTTAAAATTACATTAATCAAAATTACAACTGAAAAAGATTGTTCAAGGCATTCTACTAAATCAGGCTTTGTTCTTTTCAGTACTATCTGAATTAGTCATTGGCTAAAACATGGGTATCTTTTTTAATTAAGACAAATATTTCTCATCATAATTAAACTTATGAAAAGACAGGTCAACAATCAGAATTTCAGAATATATGGAACTCTCAGTAAATAGGGAATCAACTACATGACCTCAAAGGGTCACACGGTTCTGATAGCAGCCACGTGGGACAGAGACTCATCTCTAATTTTCCACCCCTAATTTACTGACATCTACAAAAATGAGAAGGCACGTTCTAAATGGCAACCAAGAGTTTAATTAACTTTACATTATGGCAGTCATTTTATAACTGGTAACTAATATCACACGAAAATTTTGAAAAAAAATTCTGCTGACCATTTAAGGCTAAATTATATTCGACACCCACAAAACAGATTTCATCAGTAATAAAACCATACTATACTTTTATACTCCTACTGAAGAACTTCATTAACCTTAGTTTTTGCTAATAATGATTACAAATCTTTTTTTTTTTTTTTTTTACAAATCTTAAAGGGTCAATACACTTGGCTTATGATGTTGCATAAGGGATACAATTACCACCAAGTAGTATTCCTGCCAAAAGTGTTTAGTCTGAATCTTATGCAGAGAAAAAAGAAAATCATACAAACTAAAACAAGGGATATTCTGCAAACCAACTAACTTAGACTATTCAAAAATATTAGTATCAGGAATGACAAAACAGGGGTGGGACTAAGGAATGATTCTTAATTCTAAAGGGCCATGATGGCCAAATGCAATGCATAATCCTTAACTGGATCCTGGCTAAAAATAAGCAAACAAATCAGCCTTAAGTGACATTATTAAGATAATTAGTCAGGAAGTTTTAATACGGACTGTCTATAAAAGTTTTATAACCACTGCAAATGTATGCCTAGTATATGATTCTCTTAAACATTTATAAAGCACCTATATGATAGATTAAAGACTCTAGTAATGGAACCTGAATAACTTTGTCTAACCTAGGGTTTCACAAACTTTTTCGCTCATGGAACCTTCTCTCCTCTTAACGTGTATTATAAATGTGTGAGAAGGTTTTGGAAATATTTCATTAAATAATTCATTTCTATCACTTATTCCATATATTAATTATTCATAATTCTTAGGAAGCAGAAATCAAATATCTAAAAAATACTAAAACATTAAATTTCAAACTCAAGAATACAGGTTTAAAAGTACCTGGATGATAGACTCTCCCCGATGAAGACTTCATTTAGTGCCCTCACTGGCAAAAGCTGGGGTCCTGAAGCCTCAGGTCCTGTAGTAATGAAAAGAAAAACAACTTGTTTAAATTTTAGAAATGTTAGGATTTAAATTTTATAAAATATTAAAATATTCATACTTTTGTTTCAGTAGAAAACATACTTTAACATTAACATAGAAGTTAAAGCTCATATTTAGAGTGTTCATAATGAACCTCAAAATCACCTAACATATCTCCAAAGAAGCCTCTCTCTCTCACCAAAATAAACCTTAATTCTCCTTGAAACAATTTTTTAAGAGTGATGAAATATACTTATCCACCTCATAAGATTCTTGTTGTCACACTTAATTTCTGAGAGCTTCAGACGTGGAAATAATCAAGTACTTCCACAGGAGCCACTTTGGATTTCAGCAGCAAATTACACGCATGGCTCATATTGGAAACCAAATCAGTTATATATTAGAGATCACTGAATCTCTGAATACCAATCTATAGCTTTCTTATAAAGCCAATGAATTTCAGAGCCAAATCGTGAACATCTCCAGTGACAGCAGTAACTTCTTTTGGCTAGGGATAAAGTAAGATTTCCAACTAAAAATTTAAAATCTTTAAAATATGACACGAACACATAGTTTAAGAACAGCCCAACCTATAAAGCCATAAATCACCATGAAAAACTCTGAAAATAATGAGATAAGACAGAGACAAAGCAGATACGTAAAGGTAGCTTTTCCTGATAAGTTTAGCCAAGAAATGAAACACAGGAGGAAAAAAATCTTTTTATACAGTCCACAGATATTTAGTGTATCTCTTGGGGTCTTCCTGTATCATGAAAGCCTTAAAATTACTGGGAAAATATGGCTAAATTACAGTCCACAAAACTGAGAATTCACCTTAACATTTGTTAAAAAAAAAAACCCTGCATATCACCTTATACTAATATTCTCTTAGCAGCTTACAGAGAGATGTCTGGAACACAAATCTTAAGGCTGCAATGCAAAATTTCCCAACAAAAAGATTTTAACCAACAACTGTAACTATAGTAGATATATTTAAATATGGCTATACAAATGTATAATTGTTAAGAAATCTTCTATAGATTAGGTCATTTCTACTGCTTTCTCTTTTCTGACATTTCACAGATTAAAGCCAAGAATCCTTCCTTAAATATCAACTATTCTCTTAGACATTTTATAATTCTTTCATAATCAAGTTTTCAAACCCATTCTAGAACACATTTCTTTTGGAAATATGCTTATTTCTATATCTAGTCATATTACATTTTACACCTGAAGTAGTTCACTGTATTTTCTTAAATGCGGTCAGTGGCACTAAAATCCCCAAATAATTGTAAATTATCACTTATATAAATTAGAAACCAAAGGAACAAGAAGTTAAATACTGCCCAAACACATCTAATTCCCAATCTACCTACTTTCATCATGAACTCTTTCAATGTTGAAGGCTCTACTATGTTGATTCAAACTTAGCTGCTGTTCGTGGAGGTCCACAGGAACAGGGTTTATGCCAGTCCCTTCAAGGTACAACCTGATTCGCTGCCTCCATAACCACCTTAGAAGAGTGAAGGAAAAGCAAATATGTTAAGATAAAGTAAACTTAGGATAAGGCATAATTATTTCACCAAATTAAAAAATTCATATTAAAAACCTAGTTGTTCCACAAACAAATTATACCAGAAACACCTAAAGCCTACAAATTCCTTCTCAAAGACAAAGTCAAAGATTTAGTTCTCTTTTCAGAAATAATAGAAATATCTAATGTATTTGTACAAAATCTCCCACATAACTTGAATCAAAGTCAAGTTCTATATCAAGTATCCATTAAATCTAAGATACTAAGATACAGTTGTGTTTTGCTCATACAAAAGTGTAACATGCAAAAACAAAAAACCACTGTGATAAAACAATATTGTGTTAAGGTGGTTAGACAAAACTCCCTCTCCTAGAGTTCTATAATGATTTTTGCAATAAAAAAAAAAAAATCAATGACAAATTTTTTAACATTTAAGATTACATCTAAAACTTAAATGACGTTTTTGATAAAAGGAAAAAAACTAGGTATAATTGATTTCAAAACCAAAAACTGATGTATCCAAAAGCCAGTGGAACAGACTCTGCTAGATTAGTATATAAAAATATACTCCCACTTGATAGCTATAAACTGGACGTTTGTAGAGGTGCCAAACTTCTGAAACAACCAGAAACTAGAATCATTACTAATGATTCCAGAAATCAAGAAGATTTAATACAATTTCACAAAAAAACAAAGAGCTTTCTCAAACAATAAAAATCTAGTCCAAGTCAGGAAATAAAAAGTCATCCAACTTGGCTCTCTCTACTATAATCACCAACCCCATCTCAGCTCCTCCTTCCACTCTTCTCTTTTCAGGATAGCCTGACTACTGAACAAATTAAGTGAAAGAAATATGACAAAACATCCCCCTACTTAAGAAACAATATGTAAAATAAAAGATACCCGGAACCTCAGAATGGTGGAGTATATCCAACCCTCAGCCATTTGGATGGGAGAGGAGGATAAAAATATAAAATCTCAGAGAATTTGAACACTTACTTTTAGCCAATAGTTTTAACTAGCTTTCTACCAAACTGCTAAGAACATGTAACAACATTAAGAAAATAGAAACATGGCCTCTAGCTCACTGATGGAGAAAACCCCTCTACTTGCAGTTGGGTTACAGGCCAAGTGGCTTTTGTCAGGGCTTTTCTACACAGTTCCAGTTGGACTAGAAGAAAGGCAGAGGTGTGGATGACTCAGCTAATAACAGTAGCCATAAAGAGTAATACATAACTATACACTAAGCCAAATATTATCTAACTTGTTCTGTTCGATAGCATTCTTAATGGCACATAAAGATATTTATAAAACAACTGTAAGAAATTCCTACCTGAACTCACCACGATAGAACTTCTGTAAGGCTTCTGGGAAGGAATGTGTGTATCGAACAGGAAGACATAAATGACCCTCAGACCTTTAATAAGAGATTTGTAGTGTGTAAAGGGAAGAAAAAGGAAAAAAGAAAAAACTTAATTCAAAAGGTATCACTAAACTACAAAAACCAGACATGAAACTTTATAAATTTCTGTTCTATATTTCATTTTTTTTGCAACAAAATTTTCTGTATTTTCAGTAAGACAAAAAGACCAAATAGAAATAGTGGTTTTACATCCAGCTTCAATGCTATCATACACACTAATGAAGTTTCCACATCACAGTGAAACTAAAAATAACAGCACATTTGCCACCGATTGATTACCCTACAAAATTATCTAATGGTATAGTGGTGTTTCCACCCTACCTTTAAATTATTTAACTATAAACTGTGGGCAAGTCACTTTAGCATCAGCTTTCTCATCTCTAAAAGGGTGATAAAACCACTAAGTATCTCAAAAGGTTATTCTGAGGAATCACACTATATGTGGAAGTAAACCATAAATCCCTTTTAAATATCATTTATGATATCTAAGTCATAAAGAGAAATCATAAAGCTAATCCAATCCAATCCTTCATTTATTCAAAAAATATATAAGGGTGAACTTCCTTCAGGGAGTTAAGAGCTTGACATAGAAGACAATTTTTTTTTAAAAAATTGCAAATTACAAAGTGTTAACATTGCCTATAGTTGATACAGGAAGATGAGAGAACATAGCACCTAACACCTAAAGGTGTCCAGAAAGTTCAATCATCATCATTTACATGATGCTTTGATCTTGAAGGTTGAGAGGAGACTTGGCAAAACAAACTCTTAATAACTATACATTAACTTATAAGCGTGAAGAGCAGAAAAAAAGGCTTTTGCAAAGCTGTGATAGATCAATTTCTTTATCTGTGAGAATCAACACTGAAATTAAAACTAGGCCCTGCCTAAGTTTTTTAATTTTTATATTCACTGCAACACTTTTACACGATGCTAAGTATATAGAGGGTATCAACAGTCATTTGATAGAACAATACCTGCTAGGGTCAAATACAGGTCTGCAACACCCAAGAGAGAACAATCTCTCATGAGATTAGAGTCAGATCTCAGCCAGGGCTGTCAGCACCTGAAGGCTTAACTTGGCCTGGAGGATTCACTTTCAATGTGGCTCACTCACAGGCTGGCAAATTGGTGTGAACTATTTGCAAGATGCCTCAATTCTACCCCACGAAAGCCTCTCCACAGGGCTGCTTGATCCTCACATCATGCCGGCTGACTTACCCCAGAATGAGCAATTCAAGAGACTAATACAGAAGCTGTAATACCATTTATGACCTGGCCTTGGAATCCACACACTGTCATACCATATTCCACTGGTCACACAGGCCAGCCCTGATTGAATACAGAAGCAGGGAGAGAACCACATAAAGGTGTGAATGCTAGACAGCTACCTTGGAGGCTAGCTACCACATGCCTTCTATCCCATTTTAATTATTAAGCATTCAAGTGTCATAATTATTTATTGGGCTCAATAAACTGAATGCAGAATACAGCCAAGACAAACCGAAGTTATATATTTAATTTAGATGAGTCCATGTAAGTGAACCATCTTAGAAGGGTATCCTCCAGCCCAAGTCAAGCCTTCAGGTGCCTGCAGCCCCTGCTTACTATAACCTCATGAGAGATCTCAAGCCAAACCACCCAGCCAAGCTCCTGAATTCCAGATACACACAAACCATGAGAAATAATAAGTGATTATTATTGTTTAAGCCCTTAAGTTCTGGTCTGATTTGTTAGGCAGCATTTGATAACTAACATAGAGGAGAGGAAATTTAAGTTGAACATTAACTTCTGGGCTTATTTAAGGCTTGTGAGTCCCAGAGTACTTAAGAAAAAGAAGTCAAGCAACCTGAATTACCAAACAAGCTAGGAGGCTTCATACACTGTTGGCCTGGAGACAAGAAGAAAAACCAAAGGACTTCTAAAGCCTACTCTTCTAGGTAGAAATTAGAGATGCAATACTGCCTGCTTACCAGTTTCAAAATTCCCACAAGTTTATAGGAGTATTAAGCCAGCTTTCTGAAAGAAAATGTATTTCAACAAACTATATAAAATGTGATCACTAAAGAATCTCTTAATGATATAAAATTATGCCACTAAGAAGTTCTAAAATATAAACACATCAACACTGAAAGCAATCAAAAAATAATTATTGAACGAGTGATCTCAATTACTTATACTCAAGTAATAGTTACTCATCTAGGTTGGGATCCTAGCCCTACTCCCTAAGATCATTTAATCACTCATTTCAAAGGTTGTTTATGGACTAGGTATAATACTGTAACAGTGACAGAGGAATTAAAATACAATCCTATAGCTTACAGCATTTTATACTTTATAGAAATTTATAGTCTAATGGAAGAGACAACAACCAAGCAGAAAATATGCTCTACAGAAAATTATAGTCAGAGCCCAGGAGAGGCACCAGTTTTCAATGAACAATTTACACAACTACACAACTGAGTAAGTGGTATAAGGGCACTCTAGGCAAAAGCATGTATAAGGGCATGAAAATGATATGCACCTTCTGGAGAACTCTTTCACATCCTACTGTTTTAAGTATCAACAAACCTCCTCACCAGAGGAAAAGCCTCCACCCATGGTGTTAGCAGATGCTCATACCTGACATTTGCACTTAAGGACAGCCATCAGAGTGGGTGATGGAGGAATTAGGTGAAGGTGGTCAAAGGTAAAAACTTCCAATACTGGGTTGTAACAATTCAACATAAGGACTATAGTTAATACTTCTGTATATTTGAGTTATTAAGAGTAGATCCTAAGAGCTCTCATCACAAAAAAAAATAAAAAGCATTTTTTTTTCATATCTATATGAGAGGATAAACGTTAACTAAGTTTACTGTGGTTATCATTTCACATTATGTGTAAGTTATTATGCAGTACACCTTAAATGTATGCAGTCTATATGTCAGTTATATCTCAACAAAACTGGGCAAAAAATGCAATTAAAAAAAAAAAAACAAAAAACAGCCTTAAGAAGAATCCTAGCTGTTCCTAGAGGGACTTCAGTAATTTTTTCTTAACTGAAGTGCCTACGAGTTAATGAGGATCAATAAAACTTAAAAAGCAAATAGGCAACAGATGGTGAAAGATCATACTATTATAGTAAGGAATTGGCAATGTATTCTGAAGGTCATGGAAAAACCCTAAAAGATTTTAATTTAGAAGTAGATACGATCAGATTTGTACTTTGGAAAGAACACGAAGATAAAGTGTAACGGATGGGATGGAACGAGCAAGACTGGAGACTATTACAGTAATTAAACAGCAAATTATAAAGGCCTATGTTCAGTAGCAGTGAGGACGGCAAGAGATGGACTCAAAGGTAAGAGATCCCACAAACTTAGCGCTAGAGCCATAGACCAATGTGATGAAGGGGGTGAGGGGCGGGTGGTCCAGCTTCAGCACAGATTACGATTCCATTCATCAAGTACAGTAGAGGAAGGGAAAGGAAGCAGGTTCATTTGTAGACATGTTGCCTTTTTTTTTTTTAAGTAGGCTCCATGCCCAACAGAGGACTTAAACTCATGACCCTGAGATTAAGAGTCCCATGCCCTAAGACTGAGCCAGCCAGACATGTTACATTTTTAATGCCACTGGATACTTAGGACAGTATGGCTAGAAGAGCATGAAGAGAAAAATAACAGGAGAAAAAGACACCAAATAGTCAGGGACCAGAAAATGCAGTGTCTTGTATGTCACTGTTCAGGTGACCAGCTGTCCCAGTTTGCCTGGGACTGACAATTTTCCCAGGACATGAAACTTTCAATGCTAAAACTAGGAAAGTCCCTGGCAAACCAGGGTGCATTGGTCCCCCTAGTCAGAGTAAAGAACTAGATTTTATCCTGGGTTAGATGGGGAGCCACCATAAAATTCTGAGCAGTCACATAATGTTATCAAACTTTCATAAAATGATCACTCTGGCTGCAGTGGGAAGAGAATGTAAGTAAGGATAAGAGTGGAAGCAAGATCAATGTTGGCTGTAAATATTTTGGAGTCACCAGGATTTAAGTTCAACTACAGATATTAATATTAATTAATTAATACTGGAGACAGTATAAAATGTTAGAGAGAGAAAAGTTACAGAAAGATGGCCCAGAAGATAATATGTGAAAATACCATTATTTAAGCAGTGACTTAATATAACATCCTTCAAAAGAGACAAAGAAGTAGCACCAGGATAGGAAGAATGGGCTGGGGCAGGCGGGGGGCGGGGAGGGAATGTCGTAAATGGCAAAAAAGTACAGATGCAACCAAGGAGCAAAAATTTCCCAGAAATCAAGTAAGACAAGGACTGAAATGTTCAGTAAGTTCAGTAACCAGGATGTTACTGGTAAGGCAAAAAGAATGTCAATGAACCGGTTGGAAGCAATCCAGAAAAGATGGCAAAGATGGCAAAACAGTAACTTAAGGAAGTGGAGATCCCAAGCTTAGGGGTAGAGACGAAGAAAAAGAGTAACAGCCAAGAGAGAGACACAGGGTAAAGGATTTATTAAATTTTCTTAAAAGAGGATGGTCGTGAACAAGTTTATAGCTTCAGAGGAAGCATGTTGGAGAGAGGGGAAGAAAGGGAACAAATAACAGAACAAAATTTTGTTTCAAAGCCAGGGAAAAGTTGAAAAGTCCAATGATTTCCATTTCCTTTATGAGGTAAGAGAAGGCAAATGCTGAAGGAGGAAGGGTAAGGAAAGCAAGGAGCATACAGAAGTTAAAATAACCTTGAAGTAGCTAGTGCAGAGAATAGGGAAGAGAGAAGACCTGAGCCTGGGGCACCTGGGTGGCTCAGCTATTAAGTGTCTTCCTTCGGCTCAGGTCATGATCCCAGGGTCCTGGGCTTGAGCCCCATGGGAAGCCTGCTTCTCCCTCTCCGCCCTGCTTGTGTTCCCTCTCTCGCTGTGTCTCTCTCTGTCAAATAAATAAATAAAATCTTTAAAATAAATAAATAAATAAATAAATAAAATCTTAAAAAAAAAAAATGAAGACCTGAACCACACAGAAAGTTTTTTTTTAACAACTCTGAGGATCTAGTTCTAAGTGCTAGAAATGACAAACTGGAAGTAAATTTGGGCCCAAACAAACCACCAAGCTTAAGTTTCTATTTTCTCCCCCCAGATGGCCTCAGCAGTGCTGATGAAGGAATAAAAAGGATGACAGACTGATGTAGGATTGAGCAGAAAGACAGTGGTACAAAATGTTTAAGAAATTTGTCAAGAGGGGCACCTGGGTGGCTCAGTTGGTTGGGCGACTGCCTTCGGCTCAGGTCATGATCCCGGAGTCCCGGGATCGAGTCCCGCATCGGGCTCCCTGCTCCTTGGGAGCCTGCTTCTCCCTCTGACCCTCTTCCCTCTCGTGCTCTCTCTCATTCTCTCTCTCTCTCGAATAAATAAAATCTTAAAAAAAAAAAAAATTGTCAAGAGGGGCGCCTGGGTGGATCAGTTGGTTAAGCGTCCAATTCTTGATTTTGGCTCAGGGTTGTGAGATCGAGCCCCACATGGGCTCTGCACTAGGCATGGAGCCTGTCTCTCCCTCTCCCCCCCCTCACATGTGCACTCCCCCTCCAAAGGAGGGAGTGGAGGGGAGGGGAGAGGAGAGGAGGAGAGGGAGGGAGAGAGGGAGGAAGGAAGGAAAAAAAGGAAGAAAGAAAGGAAGGAAGGAAGAAGAAAAAAGGAAAGAAAAAAAGAAAGAAAATTAAGTTTGTCAAGAATATGAAGGAAGTGAGGGAAAATTAAGAAAATAGAGGGGTTCAACACACTGAAAACCAAAGGGCAGATTTAGCAGGATTGAGGGAATAAAACTGCGGTTAAAGGTAGGAGGCTGTGGTCAGAGTGGAATTAAGATTTGAGAGATGGGGCAATTCTAGATGATCATCAAGTCCAGGCATGCTCATGGCCGCGGGTGGCTGGAAAAGAATGATGCTAAATGTCAGTGAAGCTGAGGAAAGAAAAAAAGAAGTGATGACAGGGTTTGGTCTCTTCATTAAGTCAATGAAGTCACCCAGAAAATCAGCAGAAGCATAGCCAGGAATGTAGATGAGAGACATAAGGAAGGACAGAAGACAGGGCATTAACTCATGCCTCTTCTGCAATACAAAAGGTCACCAATACCCAACTAGGTCAAGGGCTCAGGTCTATTCTGCCAAAAGGTACTACTCCCAGACTACCTAGGAAGTCTAATGCGAAGACTCATCAACCCTATATCATAATTTTCTACCACCAATGGTAGCTAAAACACATATCTATTTCTCATGCCTGAGCTATACATGAAAGCTAGGTCCTTGAAAACCACAACATAGAAGAAAATTCTACTAAAAGTAGAAACGAATTGTACATGCCTGAATTTCATCTCTAAAATGTTTCTGGAACACGGTTCTAACATTCATGATAACCAGGAGCAATGATACTTCCACTTAAACACCATGCACCACAGTAAACACCCTGTAGCAATAGAGCACAGCAATGTGACTACGGTGGAGAAAATAAGGAGCTCCCCAAATTTAAGATTTATCAGAAATAGATATTATGCAAAACAAAGAATAACTGTATGTATAGCACACACATACAGACACAAACAAAAAGAACATGTTTTTCCTTACCGTTCTGGATCAGTGTTTACTCCAATAACTGGTTTAAGTCTATCTAAGACCTTACTTGCTGCCAGGAGCATCGTGCCATCACCTAAAGGACATATGACATAACCAGATTTGTTACAAAACTAGTTTTTAACATCATTTTGAACCCAAGTCCTTTTGTTTTAACAATCACACTCCTACTCTGTCCTGCTGACCACCAGTCTATTCCACTTCCTTTCTACCCACTATCCCTAATCCAGGATTTCCCAACAGTGGCAAGACCGACATTTTAGGCCGGGTAATTCTTTGTTGGGGGGTGCCAGCGGGGGGCTGTCCCATGCATTACAGGATGTCTAGCAGTATCCATGACCTCTACCTGCTAGATGCCCATAGTAGCCCCCCAGCTGGGAACCACTGTTCTAATCCTATCATTCTACTAACCAAATCTCTTTCCTTCTGTCATAACATCAGTCCAAATTCATACATTTTAATGAGAATACATCCAAAAAAGTGTCCAGTGCAGATTTTTCTAACAAATGCTATCAATTTAAAGCTTTGACAACAATGTCCACTTACTTAATAATAAAGCTCAGGAAAGATAGCTGTAAGTATATTGGAGCCAGAGTGGGATGGAATTTATCTAATCTCACTGAACTCTTAAACAATTTCAATTTTTTTTTTAAGACTGGCATAACTAAACCAAAATACAGTTACAACTCATCCTTTGAATCATATTTGAAGCCAAATGCACACCTTAAATATACAAACAGAAATAGACACAGAACCTCACAATAACATCCTTCACTAAAAAAGTGAAATGTTATATATAGCAGATATTTTAAATCTTATCCTAAAAATCCCAAAATGTATCTTGTGGTAGGATTCTGAAGTCTTCATTACAGCTAGACCACAGGGTATCTGGAAATGAGAGTAAAGAGCATTTCCATATTCCAACATCTTTACCTCTGTAAAACTATTACCTCCTGCAGCTATGACAGCGTCTGCCCATCGAACAATCTCTTCATCATATTCTCTCCTCTTTACTAGACGAACCTCAATTCCCTCATTCCTAAGATAAAAAAGTAAAAGTTATATAAAATGTCCACTAGTAACATGAAGGATGTTTTGAGAGGCAGGTTACTCCAATGATGTAAAATAACCAAACATGTTTTATAAACAAATTTATGTTTAGTTTTGCAAGGTTAACTTCATTTTCATTTATTTAATTACAACAGCCAATTTACTATGGTCAGGAAGTATATGAATAAACTTATGTTAATGACTATCCAAAATCTCTACGTGCTTCAAAAACATCTTGTTTTTGCCCCTGACAAATAACAGTATCAATAGATTAGAATTTCATTTCATTTTCTCTATTCCTCTGATGCTAAAATTCACTAATACAAAAATGGTCAAGAAGTGTAACATCTCAGGAGACTTTTTCATTATAAAAGCAGTCATTATTTTAAATCCAACAAATACTCATTCAGTGTCAGCCACTGAAACAGTGACTAAAATACTTTCTACTTTGCATGTTCTCAAACTGATTCTCTTATATACATATAAACTTATTCACTGACTGCATTAATAGAATTAACTGAAGTTCCTATGATAATTTTTAGACATTCAAAGAATATTTTAATGAACACCCATAAAATCCAGTATTCAGTTTAATTAAATATTACACATACAGTTGAAGCCTAATGTATACAGAATTATCTCTGTAGAAAAGGCACTTCTCAGACCAAATATTAACTGAAAATCTGTGAAATTTTCAGAGTACAATAAAAATTTCCTTAGAAACACTGTAATATCAACTCCATTAACCAAGACAGAATTTTCTGAAGATGATTTTATAATGGCAAACTTTACTAAAAATCTCAGGATCATCCGCTAGTAAAAATAAAAACTGGAAGTCCTGAATACAAAAGCCCATCAAAGACCCAATCCCATTAACTTACCGTAAACTATCTAGAATATGCTCTACATTTTTGGTGTGAATATGATGTCGTTCAAGTAGTCCACTGTAGCTAGAGCCTTTCAATGCAAGCTGTATCAAGATAAAACAAATTCTGTCTCATTACATGACATATATTACACATTATAACATATCTCTTTAAAAAAACCCTATAAAAATATAATGGGTTAAGGCACATTTTTATGACTACAAGTTTAAACTGAACTAGAAAGACTAATTTCAGAAAATCATAATTTGGTTTCAATACCAAATACAGCATTAAGTTTCCTGAATCATGTAATTAACATGATCTCAAAATTTGCTTATTTTTCAACTTGAGGGTTTTTTTAATGGATTTTTAACACATCGCATGGGGCTACTTGAAGACCAAAGACAAACTAGTATTTTAGAAAGCAGTTAGATGACCTTTGTTCCACTTGGATTTGCAGCTCTCTTCTGTTCAGATTTATGAACTCTATTTGGAATTTACCCCACGCAATCCAAACAAAGGCCGGGTTAGCTCCCTGAAATTAGATAACTTTTAGATATAAAGACATATATCCTTCAAGAATTATCTTTCCTGGTCCACTGGAGTGACATTTCTATAATGCCACTACTTTACCATTAATAATTCTCCTTTTAAAGTATATGTCTTCGAAATAATCCATAAAGTAAAATGCTGAGAGAGAAGTTCAGACATAGCCTCAATGCATATCCGTTTAATCAACTAGGAAATTTGCCAGTAGAGTGAATGTGAGAATTAAAAAGCATGTTATTTCTTTCCTTCTCCAACTTCCCTTATACCCTGCCTCTTGTTGACACGTATCAGTTTTTCAAGTACCTGTCCAAAATACAATCTTAAACATATTCTTTTGTTTTAGATTATTACTGAATTATAAAGTAAAACCAAATTTTAGATAGCATCCTTAATATGTATTTTACATATTAAAAAATTTATAAAAATAACAAAACATGGAAGATACATATATAAAGAAAATTTAAAACATATATAATATTATTGTCCCAGGACAGTTTATGTTAATATTTTGATATCTTTCTAGTCTTTTGTTTATGAATATAGGGTTAAGAGTTTTAAAATAGTTTTGTCCTCACTCTATAATCTAAAGGGAAATGTGTGTTCCTCAAAAGGGGAGGTGAAGACACATTTGGCTATTTGATAATACATAGATGTTAACTCACAAAGATACACTAGATCAGATAATCTGTACAACACTTTGACATCTAGACATAAGCTTCATATTTAGACAGATCATACCAACATCAAAAATATTTTTTAAAGGAAAGCAGTGACCAAAGTCATAATTAGATAATCCTTCATTTAATTTAAAAAAGTCAACATACAACAGGTTTGAAAAACTATTTTAAGACTAGAATTTCTGAATATAAATGAACATAGCATTTACATTCAGATTATTATACTAGCATTAGCCAATTACAAATTAACTAAAACCTTACTAACCATCTCTCAGTAAATATGGATCACAATGCTCTTCATCTCTACTCTCTCCCTGGGGATCTCTAGCTTCAAGGCTTTCCGTGCGAGAGCTGTATGCAGAGGACTCCCAACTGCTGACCCTAGCCTCTCTTCAGGGCTCCAAATAAATGTATCCACCAGTGTATCTGACATCTTTCTCTGGATATCTAACAGGAATCTCAAACTAAAATACTCAGTATCAAACTCCTGACTTTTCTAACAGATTAGTTACTGTGGTATATTATTCTGTTACGGTAATTACCTCTCATAAGCCCATTTCCAGAGTGAATATGTAGCTAGAAATTGAGCTCTAAAAAATTAAATTCATTCATTCAAATATTTGAGTGCCTACTACTGTATTAGTTTAAACATTAGTTGAGCTCAATCAAATGTATTTAATGGGGCACTGAAAACTGCCAAGGACAATGAGAACCAACTCAAATGTATAAGAAGTCTATTAGAATAGTTTCATCAAATGTACTGCTTCTAACCGGCTATAAATAAAACTTAAGGGTAGCTGGTCCTCAATTTCCTGCCCAGATTTTTATCTTATGTTCTAATTTTTGGTTTGGACAATATAGAACATGTACCCAGGAATACACGACATAAATCTTTATGTATGATAACTGTAAATTCTAGTCTAGTGGTTCAGAAGCTTTTGTGCTCACTTCCTGGCTCTCAGCAAACTGCAGAAAATTAAGATTACTCAGCAGTTGAGGGTTAGGAAACTGCTTTGAGATGGTGAAGGGGGTTTGAATTTGTGGAGAAAATAATTTTGGAGCACTAACAAAAAACTTCCAAGTTTTCCATGATTTTAATAAGTTTTGCTAGCAACACTAAAATTCCTAAATTTCCAAACCTAAATACAAAATTCACTTAGCATCAGAATACTTAATATATTGGGGCAGAAATGTCATTTCATAAATTCTATTCCCACTTAAATTGCTTCTTGTGAACTAATTCTCTTATAACTCATGTTCAATACATTTATTTAGAGAATACAAGTTCTTATATTAATTACTTCCTTTAAAGACCTAGATGGCTGGGCTAATAAGCTTCATTAACATGGACTGGCTAAACTAGGCAAATACAAGATAAGGCATTTTATAAAATCACTTAGTAAAAGCATCAATTAGAAAGTCTTAAATCACTATTCAACTGGCTGTACAGTTTTTAAAATTTTCTTTTATATTCAAAGACGTAAGAATTTCTAGCTATCCCTCTGAAAATAACAAGACCTCAAAAATTTAAAACCATACTTTAATCAAAAACACAAACACATTCGTTATGTCTTACCATGAAGAGGTTAGAGAAATTCCTGAAATTTAAAACACATTCTCAATTCTGCAATGCTACACCACCAGTATTAGCAACAAAGTTTTAACATTTTTCCCCAAAAAAATACCGTTGATGTGCATTAAAAAAAATGATTATTCACCAGAATACCTGGAAAATTATATGTGTATATATATTACAGAATATATATATTATACAGAAAAAAAGATTAGTCACCAGAATACTTGGAAAAAGCAATGTGAATCTATAGTCTGACACATTTCAGTGAAAGAGCAAAAAAGAGTTTCATTCAAACAACAAGAGTTTCTCCTACAAAATTTACAAAAGCCAACATCACTTCTCCCCAGGTAGCTCCAAAGTTAAGATACAACAAAGCATGAAAGGAATAAGGGAGGATTCTGAACCAACAAAAATTTGCCTACCTTAAGGTTAGATGTGATAGTTAGGCTATTTCCTATATGATCCAACCACTTTTATTAAAATATCATAGATATTTTTACTTGACCAAAACTGAGTTTATTAGAAATACAAATTTTTAAGACTTGTTTTACTAGTCAGTTGAATGTTACTACTTTGCATTCTATGTACTAATTCACATGAAAGCTCAATAAAGGAAGGAAATAGGTCTTTTTAAATTTAACACATAACAAATGCACAAACTTTCTGAGACAATGACAATTTGGTACATAAACTCACGAGGCATAATTTAAGCACTCTTAAAAGCATACCCGCTTATCTAAATGGTACAACGAGTGTTAATTCAGAATTGCCTTAAAATGATTAGTAACACCTCGTCAACAGCTAGAAAGTAAACTATTCCACCTAGCACGATCAGGCCTGGTACACTGAAGCCTAAGTGTTTCTTTAGCTATATTTGGCATTTATCCTGGATCATTTCAGTTTCACTGTCCCTTATCCCAGGTGCTTACCTCTACTTTCTCCATCATTCTCTTTCTACTTCTTGCATTCCTCTTTTTATTCTTTTTACCTACTCCTTCATATGTTGGGGTTGCTCAAGGTTCCATCTTTAACTTTATTATCTGTTCCCACTTCATTTTCCTTGAGTTACCTCCCCACTCTAGGGACTTGATCTCCCAAGTACGCACCAGTAACTATGAAATATATACTGTCAGCTCATGCCATTCTCTTGAGCTATAAGCTCAAATTTTCAAAGGCCTACATTAAATCCCCCCACTGGTAGATCAAGTACCTCTCCCCAAAACCATCCAAATCCGATGACATATTCCTCCTTCAAATTTGCTCTTCTCATCTCAGTCCCATATATCAGTTAACAATACTTATATAATCAACAAAATAAACCCAGATGTCCCCTTTAATTCTTCCCTCACACTCAATCTCCATTGCCAGTCAGTGGCAAAGTACAATAAATATACCTGTAAACTGCTTCTCCAATCTGTCCTCCACATTCATGCTGCCACCGCTTGACTTCTGGACAACATCAACTCTTATCTGGTCTCATGCAATAGCCTGCCTCCAGGACTGCTAACTACTCCATTCAGTATTTATTTCCCATTTTGCCAACCTAACCACCACAACCAGAAGCCTGCTTTCATACTAGTCCCAGAATGCTAAAGTCTCAGAAAAATTGACCCTCCTCCACTCCACTCTTATGGGGAAAGACAGTAGGACTGACAGTTGTAATCTCCTGCTAAAAAAAGACTGAAAATTACTAGGACATAAAGCCAACTCCTGCACATGACATTTAATACCTTTATAAGGTACAGCCTTACCCCTATTTAGCTTCTACCTACCTATTCTTGAAGCAATGATTGCCAAACTGCCCTTAAAATGGTTGTCACATCAATTTATTGATCACAACCCACATTATTATTAAGAAAAAAATAAACTCAGGGCACTTGGGTGGCTCAGTCGGTTAAGCGTCTGCCTTTGGCTCAGGTCATGATCCCAGCATCGTGGGATCGAGTCCCGCATCAGGCTCCTGGTTCAGCAGGGGGGCGTGCTTCTCCCTCCCTTTGCCTGCCTACTTGTGATCTCTCTGTCAAATAAATAAATAAAATCTTAAAGAAAAAAAGAAACTCTACTACATGTTAACTGGCTCAACTGTTTCATGTTATCTTTTATTTCAAATGAGTATATGTACTTAGTCATGATGTAAAATTTTTCTGTGGATTACAGTCAAAAACATTTAAGTTCTTTTTGTTGGCAAAAAGATTAACTTCCCCGTCTTGCGAGTACTATTCTCTCCCATTCACATATAAATTCTTCCTTATTCTTTAATATTTAATTAAAATATCCTGAACTTAAAAGATATGATTTCACG